TCCCCGGCCTTTCTACGCTGCTTTTCCTCCTGGTGGTGGTGAGCCCCGTGGCCAGGAGGTGGGACACCGTTGTTGGATGACCTCTCTACTGATGATGCTGAGCAGGTTTCCTTGTGTTCCCTGGCCTTGTAGAGATCTTTTGAAAGCAGTCTCTTCAAGTTCTTGGTACTTCTATTGTTGAGTTTTAGGACTCTCTGCAGAATCTAGATGTTTATCCCTTACAAGATGATTTGAAATACTTTCTCCCAGTCTGCCAGACACCTGTTTAGTGCACATGTTAGAAACGGTCCTCCCCAGCAGAGCTGGCCCTGAGGGCCTTCGATGGCCCCCTGGGGAGGTGCTGCTCTGCCCTGCTGTGAGGAGGGGGCCAGGGCTGCTTGGGGAACTGGACCGTGCCAGGATCAAACGCTAAGCCTCTACTTGTCGTGCGCATGCTCTAGCCTGGAAGCTTCCTCCCTACACTTTGGGGGCCTTTTTTCTCAATTGTTCGTGCCCTTTGATTAAAAAAGGTTTTTTTTTTTTTTTAATGTGGTCCCATTTGCCTTTGTTTCATTTTTTTCCTCTTCTGTTGCCTTTGCTTCTGGTACTGTATCCAAGAAATTATTGCCCAATTTGAGGTCATGAAGATTTCCTCCTATGCTTTCTTCTAGGAAATCTGTAACTTTAGATTTTTACATGTATTCATTATTTGGGTTGTCGTTGGGCCACACGGATGGTGTTCAGGAACTCCTCCCAGGTCTGGGCTTGAAGGACACTGCTGGGGATCAAGTCCAGGCCTCCTGCTTGCAGAGCACATCCTCCGCCCTTGGAACTGTCTTTCCAACCCTACACGTAGGTCTTTACTCCATTTTGAGTAGATTCCTGTATGTGATATAAGGCTCCACCTTCATTCTTTTGCATGAGGACATCCAGATAACACAGCAGCAATTGTTAAAGAGACAATTCCTCTATGAGTGGTCCTGATACCCTTGTCAAATATCTTTGACTATAGGTGTGAAGGTTTATTGGGGTCTCTTCCATTCCCGTTGGTCTGTGTGTCTGTCTTTATAACACTGACACAACAGATGGATTACTATAGCTTTTTTTTTTTTAAACATTTTTGTTTGGTTTTGGTTTTGGTTTGGAGACTACACCTAGCTGTGCGCAGGCCTTCCTCCTGCTTCTGAGCTCAAGGATCACTCCTGGTAGACTCGGGAGACCATCTGGGGTGCCAGGGATTGAACCAGGTTGGCCATGAGCAAGGCAAGTACCCTAGGCGCTGTACTTTCTCTGCTGTCCCTGCTTTAACACTGGAGACTGGGACACCAGCTTCATTCCTTAGGTATTCCTTTTGGGGCCAGACCTGGTGGTGCAATGAGGAACGGGCCGTGCAGGGCAAGGGATGGAGCCGAGCCTCCCAATGCAGTGCAGTGCTCCAGCCTTTTGAGCCTCTCCCTGGGATATAACTTCACTTACTTGAGTCTTGTTTAACTTCTTTCTGCAATGTTTACAGTCTTGAGCATGTGCCAAGGGTGTAACCCTTTTGTCCATCTGTTTCAAGTACAAGATGGGTCTGCTCTGATTTTACTCATCGTCTTCCAGTTTTTTTTTCTTTCCTTCTAGTTTAATCTGACCTTTTGTTTCCTTGCATCTGTTATATTATGCCCCCGCCCCCCCCGCCGCAGTGTGGGTATCTGAGGGCCCCTGGCACACTCAGCTCGGTGCTTAGCTTTCTGTGCCATGTCTGGCTGCTGTGGCCTTCCCCAGGGGCATGGACTCTTAACATTTTTTGAAATTTAAAATTTCTGTATGGGAGAAAGAAGGAGATTTTAAAAAGGAAGTCAGAAAGACCTTTCTGTTACCATGAAAGGTTGAGGGATACTTTAAAAAAAAAATTAAGTAGGGCATCATGATTTATAGTGTTGTTTGTAGAAGAGTTTCAGATATAGAATGTTCTAGCACCAATCCCACTATCAGTGTCCCCAGGTTCCTTCCCTACCCCCTACCCCCAGCCTGCCTCCTTGACAGACACATTTTTAAGTCTCGCTGCTGTAGCCTGGATCTCCTGCTTTCAGGGTTCTTGACTCCTGTGGTTCAGAGATATGTATGAACCTCCACATCCCCATGTCCTCAGAACCTGGCCCCTGCCTCCATTCCTCGTCGTCTCTTCTTCCCCACCCCAATTTCTTTTTTTTTTTCACTCCTGAATTCTGACTGGAGTGATAGCACAGCAGGTAGGGTGTTTGCCTTGCACACGCCTGACGTGGCTGACCCGAGTTTAATTCCTCCGTCCCTCTCGGAGAGCCCGGCAAGCTACCAAGAGTATCTTGCCACACAGCAGAGCCTGCCAAACTACCTGTGACGTATTTGATATGCCAAACATAGTAACAAGTCTCACAATGTTACTGGGCCCACTCGAGAAAATCGATGAACAATGGGAGGACAGTGACAGTGAATTCTTCCAAATCTTAATTTTTCAAATTTTATTTTTATAAAGTAGTTCACAATATTTGATTATATTTAATATTTGAACACCAACCCCACCACTATTACACCTTCCCACCACCATATTTTGTGTGTTTCCAATCCAAACCCCAACTCCTGCCCCAAAACAGAACCGAAATAATTTATTTTGTATTTTGTTTGTTATGAATAAACCACTGAAAGTGCTCCAAAAAACTTTCCTTAGGGGAGAGTGTGTGAAAATTGTTGTATTTCACCCAGGGGCCATTAAGCCATCTATAAGAAATTCTAATATGTTGTTAAAGGTTGAGCCTTATGTGCATATGTATGTATATGTATATGTATGTGTATATGTGTATACATATATCGCTGTATCATTGTCATCCCTTTGTTCGTCAATTTACTCAAGCTGGCGCTAGTAACATCTATTCCTCCCAGCCCTGAGATTTTAGTAGCCTCTTCTTACTCGTCTTTTCCCAACAATTGGAGACTCTTTCACAGTCAGGGATATGAGACCTGTTGTCGTTACTGTTTTGGGCATATTGAATATGCCATGGCTTGCCAGGCTCTGCCCATGCAGGCGGGATACTCTCAGTAGCTTGCTGGCCTCTCCAAGAGGCATATGTTTATTTCTCTCTCTATGGTTTGTTGCCTACTGTCTGAACCCCATCAAGTATGCTGTGGTAATTATGGAAAATGGGTAGAAGTGTCTTATAATGTGTTGCGTGACAGCAAAGCATTGTCTGGGTTCTGTGGGACTTCATTCATGCGTGAGGCTCTGCCCAAGCATCTGGAAAGTGGCCTGGAGCATGGCAGCGGTTGGGTAGTGGAGATTGGCTGCTGGGGCTGGGTCCTTTGGGGCGGGGAGGGCTCTCACCCGCCCCACTCTGGGACACCTCGAGTGAAAATAGCCTGGCGCGGAGTCCGGTGGCATGGTTATGGGGGCCTCATTTTATACTCCCGTCTGGGAGGAGCAGCCGTGAGTTCTGGAGGGTGATCGATGAGGAGATCACCTAGTGCCGGCAGGGTGTGGCTTCTGGGTGTGATCCCTGGTTCACCAGAGACTGGGGGAATCAGGCAGAGGATCTCTGCTCCCGGGTCCATTGAGCTCAGAGTTCAAGGTCACAAAGTTCCACATTATCTGGGTTCCATCGGACTTCCACTCCTGCGTGAGGCTTGGTCCGAGCATCCGGAAAGCAGCATGGAGCGTGGCAGTGGTTGGGTAGTGGAGGTCGGCTGCTGGGGCTGGGTCCCCTGGATCCCCCTTTAATTTTTAATTTTAATATATTTTAATATATATATCTGTAAAAATATACTTCCCACTAAGATTGGTTGCCTTCTACTTTAAACCCCATGTAATGTGGTATGCTACTTTTAGATCACGAGTGGTGTGAGATATGAGATGTCGTATGGCCGTTTTGTCACGTGGTCCAGGAATAGGTTCACTCGTGGGTGAGGCTCACCCCCAGCATGTGAAGAGTGGCCATGAGCCTGGCGTCTGTTGAGTTCTGGAGAATTTCGGCTGCTGGAACTGGGTCCCTTGGAGCGGGGAGGGGCCTCACCTGTCCCCCCACCCCCACCCCTTCGGAACGCTCCAAATGAAACAGCCTGGCGCGGAGTCCAATGACATTGTTGCGGCAAGTCATTTTATGCTCTCTTCTGAGAGGAGGACAGTGAGTCTCTGGATCGTGGCCGTTGATGAGGTTATCACCACCCAGAGGCTGCTTCTAGGCATGACTGCCCCATTTCCAGAAACGGGGGCGTGCCCACACCAATTTCTTACCTTCCCCCTCCTCATTTCTGTCATCAAGGATAACTCAAGGACCCCTCCTTTTGATGCCTTGGGTTCTATATCTTCTGTTTGTCCTTCTGTTTTATTTCACTGAACATGAGATCTTCTTGTCCACCCAGTTGCAGAGAGTTGCATGATTCCCTCATCCCTTGAAGCTGCGGGGAATTCCAGCCTGTTATAGGACAGATATTATTGTCCCAGTCTCTTGAAGATTATTTCCTAAGATTTTCTCTTTTTATGTAATTTTCTCTCTAAGTTACCTCGTTTTCGTGGTATAGGTCTCTTGCATCTTTTGTTAAGTTGATTCCCTAAGGTCTTGGTGTTTTTGAACACTCTTTTGAATGGGGTAGACTCTTTGATTTGTTGGAGACACCGTGTACTTGAGACTTAAAATATCAAGGAGCTCAAAAGCCTGTTCCCTGGAACAGCCCTTGGAGGGGAGAGTCCTGCTGAATGGCCTCCCACTCTAGAAGCCTCCATCTGGGGCCAGAGACAGCTTAGGGCTTGGGGTGCTGCCCTGCAGCCAGCCCTGGCTCAGACCCCAGCACCAGCAGGGGGAGCACAGCCAGGTGTGGCCACATTTTTTTAAAAAGGTAATAATTCCTCAGCTTCTCTTCTGCGATTGGGATCAGTCCTCCAGAATCCCTCGGGGGTAAGGGGTGCCCGTCCGCCTGGCTGCTCTGGCCCCGAAGCCTCAAGGCTGCCTGCTCCTGCCACCTCTCCTCCCTTTCCTCCAGCACCCGCAGCTCCTGCCTCCTGACGAGCCATGAGGAAAGTCCCCACCAACGGGAACCTGCGGATGCCGAAGGCGGCCTACCCGCTGGGCCTCTTCGTATGCCTGTTCATCTACGTCGTCTACATCAAGTGGCACTGGGCCTCCGCCACGCAGGCCTTCCTCAGCCTCACTGAGGCTGCCACGGGAGCCCGGCGGGCCCAGCAGACCCGCGGCCCCTCCGGGGGGACCCCCCGCGGCCACGAGGTCTTCTACGGCATCATGCTGGATGCGGGGAGCACCGGCACGCGAGTGCACGTCTTCCACTTCTCCCGCCGTCCCGGAGGTACTATGGGGCCACTTTCCAGGCCCTTCCCTGGCCCTCCCTGGGCTTGCCATTTCCCAGGGACAGCGGTGGCAGCGGGGCCCACAACTCCGGCTCCCTGTCCTCAGCAGCTGGTCCCCCTCCGAGGTCTGTTGAGGTCCGAGAGGGTATTTGGTGGTCAGGTCCCCCTCCCAGCCCTCATCAGCGGTCCTTCTGGTGGCAGGACCATGGCACAAACAGGAGTACCGGATGAAGGGTGGGGCAGGAAGTCGGTGGGTGTCCAAGGGCTAGACCAGTAGGGCAGGGTGAGGCCCCTCTGGCCTCCCTGACAGCCCCGAGCAGGGCAGTGCTTCCTGTCCTTGGGGCCTTCGCTGCATCCCCTGCTGTAGGGCACTTACCACTCTGGTCTGTTTTTTTGTTTTGTTTTTATTTCCCTTTTTTTGTAATTTTATTTATTGAATCACCATGAGAGCAGTTAAAAAGCTTTTGGGTTTAAGTCTCAGTCATACAATGATCAAACACCCATCTCTTCACCAGTGCACTTTTTCTACCACCAAGAACCCCCATCCCACGCCCTCCCCCTACCTGTGGGGCAGATGATTTCCACATTACTCTCTCTCTACTTTGATTACATTCAATATTTGGACACCATTATTATTTGGGATTTTACCCCAACACTCAGATCTGCCGAAAAGGCAACCATAGACAATTTGTTTTCTATTGCTGGTTATGAATAACATATGATGTTGCACGGCCACAGTAGTGGCCGTGAAATTTTGGAATTCTGAAATTTTAACAATTAAATCTGGAGGGATTTCTGCCAAAACCTGCTGAGTTTTGAGATTTGGTCCTGAGTCTCTGGGATCATGGCCGGTAAGCAGCTTGATCAGGAGCCAGAGAGGCCATTCATGGGCGGCGACTCAGGGTCTTATTGGGACAGGGAGGACAGGGCCGGCTTCACCCCCATCCCATAAGGCCCCGTGTGTCTCGTCACTGCAGACCCAAACCTGACTGTCCAATGGCCTCTGGAAGATGGCAGCCTCCGAGACACCAAGGGGGAGCAGGCAGAGGGACAACACCCCTTCCCCGCTGGGGCGGTCCAGTGCCGGTAACCCATTGCAGGGACCGGATGTGTTTCTGCCAAAAGCCGCTGAGTTCCGAGATTTGTCTCTGAGTCTCTGGGATTGTGGCCATTAAGCAGTTCAGTCAGGAACCAGAGAGGCCTTGCTTCCAATTATATAGCTGAGCCCGAGGTGGTTTGTGGGTGTGTCTCCCACATACCTAACTTTTGGCCGCTTGCTTTCTTGCTAAACTTTGCCCCAAGTTTTTGGGGTCTGGCCAAAGGCACAGCAGCAGTTTTGGGGTATCTGGAAGTCTGAAGGTGCCATCAGGCTGCTGATGCACTCGCCTCACAGGTACAGACTGACCTGCTGGCAGCACCATACCCCCACCACTCTGGTCTTTGAACTGAGCTGGTCGTGTCTCTTTGTATCTGTGCGCCTCGCTCCATGGCTCAGGGACCACCTTTGATTTACTTTTCCACTGCTCTGTTATTTAACCTATCACAATAGATACTCACATGCTGCATCTGCCCGTCCCCCTAGTTTCTGGAGTTTTTAGGTCACACATGGCATTGTGTGCTTCTTTATTAGTCATATGTTTCTAGGAGAAAGTTGCTCTGAACGTGTTGCTCCTGATTCCCCCCCCCTTATGTCTCCGAATCTTATGCCATCAGGTGCTCCGAACACTTTTCCATGCTCTTTGCACCTGTGTCCCAGATCTCCCTAATTCTAAAGGGCCCTTTGGTGCTGGAGAAACACGGACAGTGGGTCAGGGCTCGGGCTCTGCTTGCAGCCAGCTCAGGTTTGCTCCCAGCACCACGTACGGTTCTCAAGCCCTCTTAATAGGAGATAGTCCCAAGCATCAGGGAGACCTAGAAAAGGAAGACAAACCAACCCAAAAAAATGCCCCTTTTTGTCAAAACAGCAAATGCTTCTGAGAATGTTGTGGCGTGTCCTTGCATAATCAAGGAAATGATTTTTATATTTGTAGTTTGGAATCTTCTGCCAACTTCCTCTATGAGTTCACTTGGCAATAAATAAGTGTCAAATCTTGACATTTTTAATGAACACTTTTTAATATTGTAAATTATTCTTCAAAGTTGCTCAGAAGTTGGGCGCCTGACACCTGGCTCTGTGCTCAGCAGTGACGGGGTGTGTGTGTGTGTTGGGGGGGGGGGGGGGTTGCTGGTTGGTTTGTTTTAAGTGAAGTTTTGGTCTAAACAGATATAATAGTTATCTTAGTTGACCAAACTACAGAGGCAGAATCCAAGCAGGAGGTGGGGATGGGCTCTTGCTATTCTGGATCAGGCTTTTTTTTCTTCCTTTTTATTTTTTAAATTTTTTTTTTCATTTTGCAATGTCTGCCTGTGCATATATTCCCGGTTTGCCTTTGTGAAAACAGTTTTCCAGGGTTGGGGAGAGCTCAGTGGGCCACAGTGCAGCTTGGCATGCAGCAGCCCCAGATTCCATTCCTTGGCACTACATGTCCCCTGAGCACTGCCAGCAGTAACCCCCAGGCACCGGGAGGAGGCTCAGAAACAGAAAAGGAAGCAAACAAAGTAAACCAACCTGTTTTTCCCTTAGAAACTCCCACCTTGACCCATGAAACCTTCAAAGCACTGAAACCTGGCCTCTCTGCTTACGCTGACGATGTGGAAAAGGTAACAGTCTCTGCTGCTCTGTTTGCCCTGCTGACTGCCTCCTCGCTGCCTCCTTCCCTCCAGCCTCTTTTCCCTGAGCCCGGCCCCCCTTCTCAAGCACGGCCTCTCTGACGTGCTGCCCGCATGCCCATGGAGGAGCCCAGGACAGCACCTGGGGCCCAGGGACCTGCTGCCCTTGCCTCTCCAGATACACGCACCACCCCCTGCCCCTGATCAGTCCCGGGCTGGGACGGGGCTCTGCAGGCTGAGACCCAGCTTCCATCTCCAGAACCACCTGGCGCCCCCAGCATTGCCAGGAGCAGCCCCTGAGCACGACCCAGAAACAGGTTCAGGGCTCATTTTGTTTGGGTTCGTCTGATTGACAGCTGTTGACTAGAACAGCTTTAAAGTGTTTAAAGCAAAGTTTACAAAGCCAGACAAGTGTGAAAGAAACAAGCTGCCAAACTTTAATTCGGAGTCAAAGAATGGCTGCTCAAGACATATTTACTCACCATGCTGTACAGTGTTGTCAGTGGTGGGCTGGGCCTTCGTGCATTCAGCATTCCAGCCGCACACCCCATCACTGTCTCAGGGCCCCGACCTCCTTCCCACTTCCCACCATGGTAAGCTCAGCTCCCTCTCAGGTCTCAGGTTCTGTAGCACCTGGCCATTGTTCCCCTCGCGGTATCAGTGCAGCCAGTCTGCGTCTGTCTCTCTCCTGCTGTGTGTCCATCTGTCTCTCTCCTGCTCTGCGTCTGTCTGTCTCTCTCCTGCTCTGGACTGTATTTCTCTCTCCTTCTCACTGATTTTCTCAGCATGGTCCCCGCCAGCTCCATCCCTGTAGTGGCAGCTTGCATCATTTCCTTTTAAGTCACAGCCAAGTAGTATTCCGTTTTGTGTTTATACCATAGTTACTTTTTCTGTTCTTGGATATTTGGGTTGTTTGTAACATCTGTACCTTTAAGGCCCATACATTTCGTCTGCTCTTACTACAGGCTCCAGCATTTCCAGTAACTCACTTATAATGCTGGCAGAGCTATTCAGTTCTACTTGGTTTAAACAGGTCTGAAAAAAGAATATGCAGGAGCTGGAGCAATGGTACAGGGGGTAGGGCCTTGCATGAGACCAACCTAGGTTCAATCCTGGCATCCCATATCGTACTCCAACCACCGAAGCCGGCCTGAGTTTGATCCCTGACACCACATAGAGTCCTCCCAGTCCTACCAGGAGTGATCCCTGAGCCCAGAGCCAGGCGTAAGCTCTGAGAACTTCCAGAAAAGAGTGTGTTTGTGTGTATCTGAGCAAAGTGTCGCCAGTCATCCCTGTGTGGCATTCATGGTGCATGCACTTTGATTCTAACACTGTAATTTAGAGACCATCTACCCCCAGGATGTTTGAGAAGAGCTTCTTTTTTTTTTTCAAAGTAAAATAGTTTTATTTAGGGACTATGAGGAGAGAGAGTACCTAATTCAAGAGAAAGCATAGGGGAGAGAGAACGCTGAGAACAACCCTGAAAGCAAAGGAGAGAATTGACACCACATTCCAGTGGAGGTGCAGAGACCCCAGAATGGAGCTGCGTGAAGAGCATTGTTCATCCTCCTGGCCCAGTGGGCTGTGTTGTACAGGTCGCCGTGGAACCCATGGGGGGCTTCCCCTCCTAAGGGCACGGAGGTGGTGGTTCATTTTTTTTTTTTATTTATTGAATCACTGTGGGAAAAGTTACAAAGCTTTCAGGTTTAAGTCTCAGTCATGCAATCATCAAACACATTTCCCTTCACCAGTACTTATTTTTCACCACGAAGAACCCCAATATACCCCCCTTCTTACCCCTCCCAATGCCTGTGAGGCAGGTAAATTCTAGTTAACACTCCATGTACTTTGATTAGATTCATTGTTTCGACAAAAGATGCACCATTATTATTTAGAGTTTACACCCCAAAATCAGACCTGCTGAAAAGGCATTGTGAAATAATTTGTTTTCTACAGCTGGTTAGCAGCCGCGCGATTTTAGATTTCTGATATTTTACTTATTAAGCCTGGAAGTATTTCAGCCTAGAGTCAGATAATTATGAGATTGGTTTCTGTGGCTCTGCAGCCATGACTGTGCCGGAGAGCCGCTCGTGGGGGGCAACTCGTGACCTCGGTAGGGCGTGAAGGACGAGCCCCCCTTCCCATGAGGTTTCAGTTGCCCCATCACCACCGGCTCATACCTGGCTTTGCAAAAAGCTCCGAGGTGGCCGCCATCTTGCTGTCCAGGGGGGAAAAGGCAGAAAGGAGCAACACTCTTTCCCTCCCCGGCAGGCATGATGCCATGGATTAATGCATAGTCCATTCGCTTTTTTGCCGCAAGCTGCCGGGCTCTGCATTAAGTCCTTGTGCTTCTGGAGCCATGGCCGTACCGGAGGGCCGCTTGTGGGGGTCAACCCGTGACCTCGGTACGGCGTGAAGGAGGTGGTGGTTCTTACCTCAGCTATGCTTCATCACCAAATATAAGGACAGGCACGTGTTGGCACCTTGCCTCCTAGGACATGGCTTGAGAAGCCCAGCAATTTTCATCATTTTTCTTCTTCCCCCCGCAACTATGAGGCCTCATCTCTCTTTGTACCTTAGACATTCTAGCGGTCATTCCTAGGGTTTGTTGTGGTTGATGGCGCTGTCCGGGGACTTCATTGCTAGAAGAGCCCCAGGATTCACCCATGGTCACGGGGGTTTCAGCTCACTGGTGTCCCCTAGTGAGGTGGGAAGTGGAGCCTCGGAGCCGCACTGCCAAGCCCCGTGCCAGGAGAGCACTGCTCCCGCCCTGCTGCTCTCTGGGGTCCCTTCTGCCAGATTAGGAAAACCAGGGTGGGAGGGATGTGCTTGTACCTGCATCAAGCCTCTAGGGGGAAGGCACCCGTGGGCCCTGACAACCCCACTGTTCCTCCTTGTGCAGAGCAGTCGGGGGATCCAGGAGCTGCTCGATGTTGCCAAGCAGGACATCCCCTTCGACTCCTGGGGGGCCACGCCACTGGTCCTCAAGGCCACCGCTGGGTTACGCCTCCTTCCAGGAGAAAAGGCTCAGAAGTTACTGCAAAAGGTAACCTCCCTCTCTCTGGGGCTCAGGGGCCGTGGCTTCTGAGCCCCGCGAATCTCAGCTGCATGGCAGTGTCCAGCAGTGTCCAGTAGGTAGCTGTGCTGGGCAGTTCTGTGCAGAAGATCTCCATGAGGGGGCAGGATGATGGATGAGCATTTTCTTCCTTAGGTGTTCAGAGCTGTCTGTGCATGCGTTTGTAGGTGGAGTCAGTGTTTTATCATAAGCAGAACAACTTACTTTGTTTTAAAACTGCTTTATGGGGACCAAGAGGGGTAGCACAGCCATATCTGCAAGCCAAGCCAGGTATGATCCTCGGCACCCAGACGGTCCCTCAAGCACAGCCAGGATTGACCCCAGGTGTGGCTTAAAAACAAACCCAGAAACTGCATTCTGTTTTCAGAGGCACCTGTCAGGTCCCAGACGGCCTTGTGCGCTTCAGCCTCCTTGCTCCCCGAGAGTTGCTGACCTGCGCTTGGCTTGGGCTTGGTTGTAGCCATAGGGAAGGCCCTTTAGCCTTCTGCCACATACTCAGGGTTTCCGTCACAAGCTGTATCCCCATCCCCTCCAGCCCCCCCGCTTCAGACACCCCTGGGTCCCAGCACTGAGGTGCACACAGAGTCCTATTACTAACTAGGCCAGGGAGCTGTTCCAGACAGAATGGTCAGTCTCGTATTCTCGATAGCTTCTAGCGACTTAGCTATCCCATGATCAACAGCTGCATCTCTGCACTGGGTGTTAAACAGGACAGATGGCCACATATCCACACCCAAATGGGGACAGACCAGACCATCCGGAGGGCTGGGTGCATCCCTGGCATTCCGTGTTTCCCTGAGCACAGCCGGGAGTGACCCCTGAGCACTGCTAGTTGTGCTAGGGGCTCAGAAGCCACGCCTGCCCCAATAAAGCAAAATTTGGTGCTGGAGATGGGCACTTAGCTTGTACATGTCCAATCTGGGTTTGATCCCCAGTTCCCCATATGGTCCCCTGAACCCCACCAAGAGTAATCTCAGAGCACTTAAGTATATTGCCAAACTTGATAGAGGAGATTGTCAGCAGATTCTGAGTGAAGATTGCCCTCCTTAATGTGAATTGGCCTCATATAATCTGAAGAAGCCTTTAATAGAAACAAAAGGCTGATTGGGGCTGGAGCAATAGCACAGCGGGTAGGGCGTTTGCCTTGCATGCGACTGACCCGGGTTCGATTCCCAGCATCCCATATGGTCCCCTGAGCACTGCTAGGGGTGATTCCTGAGTGCAGAGCCAGGAGTTACCCCTGTGCATCACCAGGTGTGACCCAAAAAGCCAAAAAAAAGAAAAAGGCTGATTGCCTTGAACAGGAGGGAATTCCATACCTTTGCACTTGAACTGAAACACACATTCTTCACTGAGTCTCCAGCCTTGTGGGAAATTGTCTTTCTTAATAATAACCCTAAAGTTAAGATATTTCCCAAGGTAAAAAAAAGCGTACTTGAGACGGTGAAACGGCAGAGGTGTGCCAGGCAAGAATAGAGTAAAAATAGAAGTGCTTGCTGATTGTTCATCACCCAGTGGCCAACACTTGGAATGGTCCCAGCCTTTGCTCTTAATGACCCTGTTCTGGATGGCTCACAGTGGCTCCATTGTCTGGAGCCAGGGAGCCACAAGGGGGAACAGAAGTTAAGCTCGAGCTGTCAGCTTGTGCCCTTGTTGGGGAGTGATGAAGCCGCCTGAGCCCCGCCAGCCAGCAGCTCCGCAGCGCCCCCTGCTGCCCCGTGGCCGCCGCCAGAAGCCTGGCCTGTTTGGGGCTGCCTGGGCCAAGCTCCCTGTGGTGAAGGCCTGTCTCATTCATGCAGGTGAAAGAAGTCTTCCGAGCGTCCCCATTCCTGGTCGGGGATGATTGTGTTTCCATCATGAACGGCACAGATGAAGGTAGAGTTCGTGAAGCGCCCGGAGGGAAGGCAGGCATGGGGCCAGCTCGCAGCTGTCCTGCCCCGGGGGTTCCTCCTGGCCTCAGTCAGTCTCCTTCCCACCTCTCCAAACCTAATTCAGTGCAGAGTCTCTAAAAACCAATCCTTTTGGTAGCTGAAGAGTTTGCAGTTGTGTAACTGCTCTCGTTAGCAGAGAGATGCTGAACAAGGTTCTTCCCCAGACCCTGGTTTGAAATAGGGCCTTGGGGCTGGAGTGATAGCACAGTGGTTACGGCATTTGCCTTGCACGCAGTCCTAACCGGGTTCGATTCCCAGCATCCCATATGGTCCCCCGAGCACGGCCAGGAGTAATTCCTGAGTGCATGAACCAGGAGTAACCCCTGTGCATTACTGGGTGTGACCCCAAAAAAAGCAGAAAAAAAAGAAACAGGGCCTTAAGAATGAGTGGAAAGGGCTGGACAAATGAGTCCAAGCCTGCAGGGCATTTGCCTTGCAGGCGCTGACCAGGGTGTGATCCTCAGCACCCCATGTGGTCCTCTGAGCTTGCCAGGAGTGATTCCTGAGTGCAGAGCGAGGTGTGCCCCCTCCAAAAAAGCAAACCAACAACAACAAAAAAGGAGTGGAGAGGGTGGTGGTGGAGAGAGTACAGGGGCTAAAGCGCTGGCCCTGCCGACGGCCAGCCAGAGTCCCCCTGTCCTTGCCAGGAGTGACCCCTGAGTAGCAGAGCCAGGAGTAAGCCCTGAGCACCACAGGGTGTGGCCGCAAAACAAAATCAACAGCAACAACAACAAAATAGCACAAGAGCTGGAGAGACGCATTTGGTTCTCTCCCAGCCTCTTCCTAGAATTCGCCCTGGGAGAATGGCCTAGAAGGGCTCCATGGTGCCAGCACACGGCCTGAGCCCTGGGGCTTCTCTGAGACCGGAGGGTTGTTCCATCAGCTCTGAAGTCAAGATGGAAAGGGCCTCACGTGGTGGTGGCAGCTCGGCCAGGGTCCGGGTGCCACTTTGGTCCTCTATGTCTCAGTGTCTCTGTCTCTGTCTCTCCCTTACAGGCGTCTCTGCGTGGATCACTGTCAACTTCCTCACAGGTGCGTCCCCTCCAGGGCACTGGGGCTGCTGCTCAGGGGTGGTGGGGGTCCCTCTCAGGAGTCAGAGATTCCAGGTGTTTCCAGCCCTGCAGGGCGGGCTCAGGAGGAGGGGGTGCCCCCATGGCGGCAGCCTGTGGAGAGGAGCGGGGGGTCTTCCCTGTGACTTGCCCTGGGGCTTGGGGTAGGCTCCTGACAGCCAGGCAGACCCCCAGGCAGACCCCCAGGAGCTGAGTGCTGCTTTCTCTGCCACAGCCACCCCTGTCCTTGGGGCAGCTCACTTCCTGCCCGTGATGGTGTGGTCAATGGAAAGGCCAGTGCGTCTCCCAGTTTAGACACAGACGCGCCTGAGCCGGGAGAGCCAAGGGCTGCAGCACGTGGCCTTGGGGCTCTGCCCAGGGACTCCGCCCGCATGTCCTCCAGGGCCTGGTCAGTGGGCTCTGCTCACTGCCGCCTTGGCGGCTGCTGCATAGTGTTCCCTCTGTCGCAGGAACCCTGAGAGGCCCCGGCCGGCGCAGTGTGGGCATGCTGGACTTGGGCGGAGGGTCCACTCAGATCACTTTCCTCCCAAGAATGGAGGTAACCAACCTCGGCTGACCCCTTGTGTAGGGTCCCCGGAGGAATGGATGCGCCCCCGGCTTGGTGCCTTGCTCCGTGAGGTTCACTTCTGCTCTCCCCTCAGCTGGAGCTCTTCCCCGGGGAGTAGATGGATGTGGGGGCCGGGGTGGTGATGAGCACAGACCAGAATGAGCCCCTCCCCCAGCCCACGCTGCCTGTGGGACAGGGCTCAGCCTGTGCCAAGACAGTTGCCACCCGGGGGAGGGAGACGTGTCCTGTGAACCAGGGCCCCGGTCATTGTCCTTGTGCCCACCGGAGGGCGGCATCAGGCAGTGCAGGGAGGTTGGACACTCCCCTGGCTCCCCTGGCCGCCTCGCTACCCGTGGCTCGGCCCCACGCTCTCCCTGCAGTGACCACGCGTGAGCTGTGCGCGAGGGCCTGGCCGTTGGCGGTATGGCCGACCTGAGGGGGGCCCCTCTGTCCTCCAGAGCACCCTTCAGAACTCGCCCCCGGGCTACCTGACGTCCCTGCAGATGTTCAACAGAACCTACACTCTCTACTCTTACAGGTGGGCCTGTGGACGAGCCTTCCTTCCCCCTCACTGCCCTTCCCTCTCCCTCCAGCTTTCCCCAGCCTTCTCCTCCCTGCTGTTTCCTCTCCCCCCACCCCCTTCATTTCATCTTTTTTTTTCTTTTTTTGAGTCGGGAGTGAGAACTTGGGCCACACCTGGTGGCATTCAGGAGACCCCGTGTGGTGCCAGAGATTAAGCCCAGACCTGCCACGCACGAAGCAAGTGTCTTTCCTGCCCTACTATCTCTCCAACCCAGTTTTTCATTTTACCTAGAGTAAAATTCCTCTTTTGTGCGTAGTTGGGGACGGTGTTCGGAAAGGGGGGGGAAGCATTCCTTGGGCCTCTCTCTGGGCCTTGGAGCTCAGGCCACGTGAGGGTGGCCTGCCTGTGCCGCACTGTCCTGTCCCAGACAGCCTCTGGTTTGTTAGTGTCACTAGCAGAGCCCCTGAACTCCAGAGAACCTTCTGGCAGAAACGGGACAGCCTGCTAACTGCCTGCCCGGGTTCCCTCCCTCGCCCACACCCTCGGGTGTAAGGAGCACACCCGCCAAGGGATGTGTGTCCTCGGGCTCTCCAGGTGACTCGCTCTCACCACCCATGTTTGGTGCTCTCGAGCCACTGCGTATGGACAGGATCTGGACGGCTGTAGGTGATGGGCAAGTGAAGGAAGAGCGAGGACCAGGTTAATAAATGATTGGTTGCCATTTCTTCCTTTCTTGCCCCTCATTTCTCCATCCCCGCTCATCTCTCCCTGGCAGCCTAGGCTCTCCCTCTTCTCTCTCGATTCTGACTCCCACTGCTTCTCTCTCCACCCCTGTTTATCTCTCTCCACCTTGCCCCCCCCCATACTCCACCCAGTGTGGAAGCATAAAAAACATAAGAAGCCCGAGATCAAAATACTTTAAGGTATTTTTCTCCTGTAGTTTTTTTTGTTTTGTTTTTGTTTTTTTTTCTTTTTGGGTCACACCCGGCGATGCATAGGAGTTACTCCTGGTTCATGCAGTCAGGAATTACTCCTGGCGGTGCTCAGGGGACCATATGAGACGCTGGGAATCGAACCTAGGTCGGCTGCGTGCAAGGCAAACGCCCTACCCGCTGTGCTATTGCTCCAGCCCCACCTGTAGTTATTTTTGTATGGACACAGTAGGAATTATACATTGAAGCTTGTAGGGCAGCTCTCCTGGGATCATCTTGCCACAGACTCAGACTACAGCGCTCAGGCCAGATTAATCATTCCTAACCCTAGCAGTGTCCAAAATCTAGTTACTACTTTTTGGATCATGTCAGCATTTGTCCATGACCAACCTCTTAACTTAAGCATTAGGCACTTTGGCCAGGCCCATCTGGATGCCAGGGTAGCACATAGCTCACTTCTTGCCCTGGGTCCATCTAGTCCCACATCGGGACCCTGCTTTTGGGGGTGCTAGGAAGTAAGGGCAGCTGAGGCTTAGGTTGAGAGAACAGATGCCCAGGAGGAACATATCATTTAGAGACATTAAATGACTCCCACATAACAAAAGCACAGCATTTGCTACTGTCTTCCTGTGCCCATACAAAAAGGGCATTGCTCTGAATAAACTACACAAAGGACTTAAGGAGAAGAGAAAAAACAATATTTACAAGTCAGCAGAGCACAAAGAAGTTACAAATAAACATAGAGGAAAGTCGAAGCACTGTGGTGGGAGCAACCCAATAAACCTAATCTACCTGAGGCTACATTATCCTACTCTGGGGTCCACGTGAATGTCCAGCAGTGTGAAGAGACGCCCTCCCCACCCTCACCCACCATATCTCTCCACAGCTACCTGGGGTTGGGACTGATGTCGGCACGGCTGGCGATCCTAGGTGGTGTGGAGGGGAAGGCAGGTGAGTGCTGGAGAGGGCTGAGTCTGAGGGACGGAGGCGGGTCCTTCTGGGGAGCCCTGGGGTGCTGGGAGGGAGGGGCATGAGTTTTGCCTGCTGGGTTTGTTCTGAAAAGAAAAAGGTGGGAGTGGAGTCATTTCCAAAAGCCCAGGCAGGGTATTCCCAGGCCAGGTCAACTATCAGGCTTGTATTTAAGGGCTCGGGCCAGAGCCAGTCCTGTGCTCTCCGGGCATGCAGGAGCCCTGGCCAGCACCACCATGATGTGCTGAGGCCTCAACTGGCCATGAAGCCTGGTGGTGGCGGCATTTCCACACTCAGAGACCCCAGGGGCCCCCGTCCTGGTTCTGCAAGCCGCCTGGGGTAGCCCCCCAAGGCCCAAGGTCAGCTCACCCCAGGGCTCGGCTCTCGGGCAGGACGGAATCGTCAGTGGGAAGATTCTTGTTTCCACGTACGAGCCGCGTTAACCTTTGTGCAAACTGAACGTGTGTTCTTGTCCGGAAACCGTCCTCTGCAGCCACCAGATGCCCGTTGACCAGGAGGCAGGGCCCCTGGGGTCACCTGTGATGAGGGTGAAGCTCAGCCGGCGGCAGTCACTCCACGGCTCTGAGGCTGTCTCCACGAGGTCAGGCCTGGGGCGCCGAGGTCCCTCCCTCCACAGAGCTGCTCCACATGTCCCTGGTGCTGCCCAGGAGAGGGAGTCCTGAGGGCCAGTAGGACAGGGCAGCCCCGGCAGGCCCAGCCCCACTCGTCCTGGGAGCACAGCCCAGAGTCTGGCGAGATCCGGGCCTGCCTGCCCGCTCCACTCCAGGGGCTGTGCTGTGGGGCCACAGGCCCTCCTCCAGCCAGCCTGACCCCCGGGCACCCTGGCAGGACCCTGCTATGTCTGTTCTGGTGGGGTGGCTGTGAGTGGTGACTGGACAGTGCTCACCTCAGAGCCTAGATCCACGTACCCACTCCGGAGGACAGTGGAGTGTTTTCTGGATGGAGAGGTATCACTGCGAGGGGCCCAGCCGCCTCCCTGCAGGCCAGGCGTCAGCTGGCAGAGAGAAGGCAGTAGCCTCAGTCCTGTGCGCGCCCAGTGCTCCGAGCCTGCTGTGCCCTCTCCTGCCCGACTGCCACAGGCGTGCCCAGGGTCAACTCTGCCCTTCCGCCTCTCTTTCCTTTCTTCTTGTTTCCAGCGGAGGATGGGAAGGAGCTGGTCAGCCCTTGTCTGTCTCCTGGTTTCAGCGGGGAGTGGGAACACGCAGAAGTGGTGTACCGAATTTCAGGACCGGCAGTGGGTACCGCAGGTCTGTAAACGGTCAGTGGCTTGGAAGGGTTCAGGTGGGCAGTAAGGAGGGCAGTGGCTGCTGGAGGAGGCCGCAACCTCCCAGGCAGCCTGAGGCTCAAGGTGGGAGATGATGATGAACCAGACCATACTGCCGCGAAAAACTTGATTTTTAACATTGTAACCAGAAAAATCAACCAACATCCAGAAGCAGAAAGGAATGGACTTGGACTCGGATCTGCTTACATTGTAATTAATGCTGCTTAATGGCCAATAGTTTCAGCGTGTCTTCAATGTGACAGGGCTTCTAGCTTCAATGTCAGGGGTCCCATTCTTTACAGCAGATGTGTTTCACAAAGGTTTTATAAATTCACCTTTGGTTACAGGTGATTTGTCTTGTAGAACCTGTTCCACAGTACAAGGAGGATTGTTTGGTCTGGTTTTGGGCGGTAGGTGTCCTCTTTTCTTGGCTACCCCTGTGGATGGTGAGAGCAGCTCAGCCTCCTGAGAGAGGACTTACGGACGCCGACTTACGGACTGGCGTTCCCAAGCCCGTCTTTAGGAAGGTTTCCCAGCTATTCCCATGGTGCTCCAGACTAAGTTTATGGCCTCTCGTGGGTCTATACAAAAAAAAAAAAAAAACCTACATATAAAGGCTCTTCGCTTACCTCAGCATGGCCCCAGAACTCAGTGGTCATTAAGCGAGGTTGCACAAAAGTAAAATTGTAAAAAAAAATTTTAATTTGGGGGCTGGAGAGATAGCACAGCGGGTAGGGCGTTTGCCTTGCACGCGGCCGACCTGGGTTTGATTCCCAGCATCCCATATGGTCCCCTGAGCACCGCCAGGAGTCACTCCTGAGCACAGAGCCAGGAGTAACCCCTGTGCATCGCTGGGTGCGACCCAAAAAGGAAAAAAAAATTTTAATTAAAAAAAAAATATGGGCAGTGTGTCCCCCCAAATGGCAGAGACGCTGGGCCCAGATCTCCTCCCCAGCTAGCCCGTACCCACCGTGGAACAGAAGTGGAGGCTCTGAGCATGAGAGTCCTGGGCTCTTCCACGGGGCTTGCCGCCCAGAGTGGAGGGTCTGAGGGAGGCATCTGTGTCTGCTGACAGGTGTCTAGGGAAGAGATGCCTCAGTATCCCCAGGCCCGAGACAGGCCTAGCCGGGCTGCTGGGCCAGCAGTTTTGGATCGAGTATCTGGGCTTCCCTCCTGCCATTGTGGCAGCGGGCAGGGCAGGACTGGGCTGAGCAGAGCAGGCAGGGCTTCCCACACAACCCGTGTGGTCTCTGTGCTTCATACTCTTCAGGTGTGTTCTAGAAGTGAGCACAAGAGGGGTGTGGGGGGGGCGGGTCAGTAGCACATGGCTTGGACGCTTGCTTGACCTGCCTTCAGTCCCTGGCTCTCCATATGGTCCTGGATCCCCTTCAGGGGTGATCCTTGAGGAATAAACCAGGAATAAGCCCTAAGCTCCACAGGGTGTGACCCAGAAGTAAAACCAAAAAAATTTTAATAAACTGGAAGAAAGGTCATAGTACCCTGTACGGGGCTGGCCCGCGGCAGAGGCCTCACTCACGTCCCATGTGTGGGCCTGGCCCCTTCCTCAGTCTGGCCCGTCCACCGAAAGGATGTGCTGGGTCCAGGGGCCACCGGGCTGGAGAGGGGGCAGCTTCTACAAACTCCCTGCCCTCAGCAACCCAGACCCATGCTGCCTGGAGTGAGCGCAGCCCCTGCACAGAGATCCTCTCCCACACAGCCCTCACCTCAGCGCTGACAGCAAGCCTGTCTCCCTTCCGCCCTGCAGCTGTGCAGGGGAGATGTACTGGAACGACCTGGAGAGCTCAGGAAGGCACTTTGTTTATCCTCACCTGTTATGCATATAAACAACCAAATGAAGGTGCGAACAGGACAGGTGCAGAGGGGGGCCTCAGGCCCCCAGCACCCCTCTGTACCCACTGGGCTGGAGGCTTGTGGGGAGATTCTGTTCCGCAGGCGTGATTAATTGTCATTGAGTGAGTCATTGGTCATTGGCACTGGGCTCAATTCTCAGCCCTTTTCCCCCCACAGAAGGTTGGGTCTGGGACCAACCTGCTTATTCTGAAGCCAGCCTCTGTCCTGGAGCAGCTGTGGTGCCACCAGTAGTCCCCCCCATAGTGCTATCAGCTCAGGCGTGCTAGAGAGGTGATGCGAACACAAGACTTCTCTCAGGAAGGTAGCACGGGGAGTCACACCTGTCGATACTCGGGTTACTCTTGACGCTGCACTCAGCACTCAGGAATCACTGCTGGCGGTGCTCGGGAAACCATACAGGATACTGGGGATCGAACGCGGGTTGGCCATGGGCAAGGCAGACGCCTGACCCACTGTGCTGTCGCTCCTGCCCCAGATAGCACAGAGGTTAAGGCATTTGCTTACCATGCCGCTGTCCCCAGTTTCATCCATAGTGCCACAGAGGTCCCCTGAACCCAGAGCCAGAAGTGGCCAGCTCAGCAGGCATGGCCCCCAAACAAACAAACAAAGCAAAAAGACCCCGGCATCGCTGGTCCAGATCCAGGAGGAGAAGCCCCGAGCAGGGCGGCAGTGGGAGGCAGCGCGAAGTTTCCCGGGGGGCCCTGGCAGCTGCGTGAGTCCAGCCCGTCCTGTTCCCCTGCACCAGTCTCTGCCAGCCCTGGGCTGAACTGTGCACAGGCAGGGTCCATGCCCACCTCATCACCTGCCGCAGAGGCCGGTTCTACCCCTCCTGAACCCTGAAGGGGAGCCCTGTGCAGACACAAGCGGCCTTCACTCCCTCCTGGCTTGGAAGGACAGGGACCGTGTGGCCTCGGGTGCCTGGCAGCAGAGCTCAGGGAGCACGGCTGGAGGGGCTCAGGGGACCCCCTCCCCCCCAGGATACCAGGGGGTCAACCCCAGGTTGGCCACCTGCAGGGCATGCCATGCCTCCTCTGTGCTCCTCAGCCCTGTGTGCAGTTCCTGAGAGGTGGGTTTCGAGGGCCGTGGTGCTGGTGAGCATTTGGGCCACTGACACCCGGCTCTGCGCCCTCCCCAGCCTCGAGCCTCCATGAGCTGTGTGCCCGCAGAGTGTCTGCAGTCCTGCGCCACAGAGTGCACAGAGCCGACGAGGGGAAGGACGTGGAGTTTTACGCGTTTTCCTACTATTACGACCTTGCAGCAAATGTTGGCCTCATAGGTAAGTAGGGTCTGTGGGCCTCCAGGCTCTGCCCGGCCAGAGGGCTGTGTGTGCCCTGCCCGCCCGTGCCCACGCCTCCAGGCTGCAGGGGCTCCCTCCCCTGAGCAGGTGGAGAAGTCATGTCAGCGGGACCAGAATGTCGGGCAGGAAATGGACTGTTCCGTGGGCTGCTGGGGACAGACAGGGACTGGGCCATGACGAGAGAGCTCCCAAGGCCCCCAGCGTTGGTGGGCAGGATGGGCAGGGGTCCTGGTGGATGAGGGCCTCTCTGTCACCCGATCCTCTCTGACACAGCTGAGCCCGTGAGGCTCTCCCCGGCAGCTTGCCCTCCACAGTGGAGAGACGGTCACTTCTGGCCATATCGCCAGTGGCCACCACAGTGTCCAGGGCCCCACTGGCCCCAGTTCCCCACTCAGGCCCCCAGGAAGCTCCTCTCCAGCATCCGGTGCTCCGTAGTGCCTCTCACCCTGACCAGGCTGCCCAGACTGGCGTCAAGGTCCTGAGCTGGGCTCAGCAGGGGCGCTACCCCATGCATGACAGGGCAACCTGTCACCCTAAGACCGCCAGCTTGAGGCTGTGCAGCACGCAGCGACTCCTCAGACCAGTCTTGAGGGGTGTGGGGGGGCCTCAGGGACCCTGCAGAGAGCACTGAGGTCTGGGGGTGCCTTGGAGGGCTAGGAGACACAGCTCTCGGGCCTGTGCCCCGGAAGGGAGGCCCCTGAAGGCCCAGCACCTGCTGCCCCACCACGGCCCTGCCTCTTGCCACCTCCACATCAGTGGAATCTTTCTCATACTCGGAAACTTGCTCTATTTTTACCTAAAATTCAAGGGTTTTCCATGAATTCCGAGGATCTTGAGGTGCCTCCTCTGGAGGGGGACCCCTGACCCCATCACCGCCCCGTGCCCCCCACAGCCATGTGCCATCCCTTATCCCCCAAAGCCACATCCCCTCAGAAACGGTGACGGGACCCGCCGTCAGCAGAGGGCTCCCTAGGACAGCACCTGTGCCCACTCAGGGCTCATGTCTCCCCACAGATGCCGAGAAAGGAGGGACCCTCCTCGTCGGGGACTTTGAGGTCGCAGCCAAGTATGGTGAGTGGCGGCCTCGCGTGTACTCAGGGAGCATGGCCTGCCCCATGCCCGGTGCCTGACACTGAGTGCAGCCATCATCGTGCTGCGGGGCCTCTCATGGTGCAGGACGTCGGGTGACCCTCGGCCCACTCCGCTCACCCCTTCCCGCCACCAGAGTCTTCCTTGTGAGTCCTCCTCCCCAGGGCCAACTTGGCCCTGACCAGTTCTCCGCTCCTGTTGCCTTTGGTCATTAGTTATTCTGCCAAGCTGTCTCTGTCACCCACACTTGAGGGAGACTGTTCTGTCTCTCTCTTGGCATGGTGCCTTCCAGACCCTTCCCCGTAACGTCCTTTTTCCCCAGGGCTGTGTAGTGCTCCAGTGTGTATATATCCCAGTTTCTGTCCCCTTTCATCTGTTGTTGGACACTGAGGTCCTTTCCAGGCTCGGGCTACTGTGAATAGTGGCAGGAAGGTCTTTCCTGAGGAGAGTCTGTGCAGGGTGCTGAGGCGCAGAGTGCGGGGTCAGCGGGAGGCTGAGAGGAAACTTGCGCTCGCTGCTGCTGGTGCTGCTGCGGACAAGACTTGCGGGTGGTCCCTGGCGTGCAGCAGAGGCCTGGGCCCCACCCTGTCCCCCACGGGCCCTCTCCTGCCTCCAGCCTCCCCGGGCAGGGTGGGGAGGGGCACTGTCCATGTGGAGGTCAGAAGGTACACTTGGTAGGTTTCTCTCGGGAGTGTCTCCCCCTCATCCCCAGTGACCCTTGTTTGGGGGCCCTGTGGTGCCCGGGACCCATGTGGAGCTCTGTGCCTGCTAGACACACTTCAGCCCTTTTCCGCTGTCACCATGGCCCCAAAATTGCTTCCCCCCACCCCCGACTTCCACCCTCTGCCTGCGGACGCTGTTGGCGTTCCTCACTCAGGGAGGCTTCCGAGCAGAATTCTGGAAAGGCCGTTGGTGGCTGGTTTTGCCTGTCCCCTTTGGGGACGAGAACCCTTGTCCTAAGTGTGTCTGGGTGTTTTCATTCCTCGGAAAGCCCAGGTCCATGCCCGGGAGAGGGGCCCGGGGACCAGCCAAGACGTGGCCGGTGCCATCACAGACCCAGCACAGCCGCCCTGGGCTCCACGCCGTGGTCGTGGCCACCACCAGTTGCTCCTCTGGCCGTCTCCACTCTTGGCCTCATGGCCAGCCCCGGAGGAGACTCGGTCAGCCCGGGCCCTGCTGCATTCTAGCCAGGGAGGGGGACCGCAGGGCCTGCAGGAGGCTCGGCCCGCTCATGCCCTCACCCCCGCAGTGTGCCGCACGGCGGAGACCCGGCCCCCGAGCAGCCCGTTCGCATGCATGGACCTCACCTACGTCAGCCTGCTGCTTCGCGAGCTCGGCTTCCCCGGGAGCAAGGCGCTGAAGGTGAGGCCCCGAGCAGACACCCGGCCCTGCACGCAGCCCGGCCCTCAGCCCCCTGCACTGCCCTTTGTCTTCTCTAGCTGACGCGGAAAATCGACGACGTGGAGACCAGCTGGGCCCTGGGGGCCATTTTCCACTACATCGACTCCCTGAGCAGGCGGCAGAGCCCCAGCTCATAGCAGCCCGCCTCGGAGAGAGCAGGACCTCGCCTCCCCAGGGAATCCCGGGGGAACGTGGCTCCCCCACCGCCCCAGCTGCAAGGTCGCCGTGCTGTGTGCCTGTGACAGGAGCCCTGTGTGCCTCCTCGTGTGTCTCCCCATCCTCAGTGACCGCCCTCCTCTCGGAAGCAACGCCACGAGACTGTCCCTCCATGCCCGCCCTCCTCCGGGACAGCTCTCTGAGTCTCCTGGGCGTGCAGGGCCAGCCCAGCCGCAGCGTCGGAGAGGGCCCCCTGGGGATGGGAGGAGGGCCGGTGGGGGGTGGCGGTCCTCCGTGCCTGCTGAGCCCTGGTGGCGGGTAGCGCTGTGGAAGATGAGAGCCCTGGGGCTGTGGCGGCACCTCCCTGGGAAGTGCCCTGGGGGCTCATCAGGACCCTGCCCACATCCTGTGCCCAGTCCCCCCCCATGAAAGTACCAAGAGTTGGACCAGCTGAGCCTTGTGTTCTTGAAATAAAGTGTTGACCAGGTGTCTGCCCCTCTGTGACTGCTCGTGCTGAGGGCAGGCGCCCACCCTGTCGCTGAAGCGTGCTCAGGTAGCATGGTAGGTAGTGTGCTGTGGGGCGGCAGCATCAGGAGGACGCAAGAGGCCACCCTTGGGCCCTCTGGTCCCACCCCCAGGGTGCTCCCCCAGTGCTGAGCCCTGGGTTCCTGAGGGTCCTCTGCAGACCCAGGAGCGTCTAATCTCAACTTCCTTGCGCAGCAGCAGCAGCAGAAGACATGCCGCGTAATGTTGGAGAAGGATGCTCCAATGGGGGGTCTCTACTTTCTGAGGGGCCCCGCTGGTCCTGGCAACACAATCCAGCTCCAGAGCACTGCAGGGATGCCTGGCACAGACTGAGGGCTGCGGCTGCCCTCTGCCACAGAAACCCTGGGCAGGGGCCTGGAGGACGAACGCTGGAAGCTTCCACGCAGAGCGGCCCGAGCCCGGCTCTCCCTGCACCGCCCAGCCCACCTCTGCTGGGTATCCCCAGCCCCCTTTCCCTCCCTCACATCTCACAGTAAAGAATTCGGGAGCTCTTTAGGCAAGGGTCAGAGATGCCTGAGGCAAAGGTGAAAATCCATTTGCTGCACTTGTGGCTTAGGGATCTCCCATCTGAGAAGTGCCAACAGTTAGAACCCCCCAGAGGATCGCCAGATTAGTATGGAATATTGTTTTGCCCCCACAGTCTATGCAGATCACTTCACTGACTTCACTGAGAGGCTTTTGCAATAGTTAAAGTAGGTTCTTGGGGATTGGCTTTGTTTTTTTTGTTGTTGTTGTTGTTGTTGGTTTTTGGTTTGGGGGCCATCCCCAGTGGTCATCAGGTATTCCTCCTGACTTTGCCCTCAGGAATCTCTCCTGGAGGTGCTCTGGGAACCTATGGAAAGCCAGAAATCGAACCCGGGTCAGCCATGTGCAAAGCAAGTGCTCCACCTGCTGTGCGATTGCGCCAGCCCCTTAAGTAGGTTCTTGTGTTTGTTCTGGTGTGTTTTGCTGTGTTTACAAAGTTAGCTGCACTGACCTGTAGAGAGAGACAGCAGGTGAGGGTTGTTTGCCATACTGTTCACCTGGGTTCAATCCCAGTACCACACAGAGCCCATAGAGCACCACAGGGAGTGATCTTTGAGTGCAGTCGAGTAAACCCTGAGCACAGCTGGATGGGCACCAGGTTTTTTTTAGGGAGATCCCCAGTAAAAGACACATTGTAAAATATGCCGAGTAGGGAATCCCTGGAGAGCTTTGTTCCTCCCACGGCCCCACATCAAAGAGACACGTCTGTGTTCTAGATCTTCCTTGCACACCCCAACCACCACACACGTGGGCACATGCATACACACACACACGCACACACACACTGCTCCTTCTCACCCACTACCCCTGCCCAGCACTCCCAGCTGCCCAGTGCCCCCACAGAATGATGAGCTGACTGGGTGGTCACCCCTGCTGCGGCAGGCAGGGGCCCCGTCTTCCCAAGTTTCTCAGTGTGAGTCCTCTGAGCAGCAGGCTTCCCAGCACAGGAGTGGTTCGCACTGACCAGTCCAAACTGTTTTGTCTCTCCCCCTGGCTGCATTGGGGTCAGCTGCTCTGGCCCTACTTGCTGGGTCCCTCTGGTGGCAGCAGGCTGCCTCTGCAGGCTTCAGCTTGGGCAGATGTCCAAGTCTGTCTGCCTAGGAGACGCCTGCCCCTGCCTTTGCCATTTGTTTTTTCTTATACAGTTGCAGTCGTCTTACTGATTTTAGAAGTTCTTCAAGGTTTGATTTTGTTTTTATTGGCCTTACTTAGTGGTGAGCGATAGCACAGCGGGTAGGGCGTTTGCCTTGCATGTGGCTGACCTGGTCGATTCCTCCATCCCTCTCGGAGAGCCCAGAAACCTACCGAAGAGTATCCCGCCCGCACAGCAGAGCCTGGAAAGCTCCCCGTGGAGTATTCGATATGCCAAACACAGTAACAACAAGTCTCACAATGGAGACGTTACTGGTGCCCACTTGAGCAAATTGATGAACGGCGGGAGAACAGTGCTACAGTGCTACTTAGTGGTGCTCAGGGCTTATTCCTGGTTCTGTGCTCAGCAGTACCTGGCCCCATGTTGTGCCAGGATAGAACCAGGATGGGCTGCGTGCAAGGCAGCTCCTTTCCTCTGCACCGTCTCTCTGCCCAGATTTTAGGAGAATTTTTTCGTATTCAGGAAATTAGTTATTAATATATGTCACACGTTTCCCCCCCCCACACACACACAATTTATTTTACAGCCCTAAGTTTTCTCAGTGCACAATTTTGTGGTATTTTTATATATTAAAATTTATACAATTAATCGGGTAGGGGGTATGACTCAATGGTAAACTGCATGCCTTGCATTCAGGATCCCTTGTACTGAAATTAAATATATATATATATTTAATTAAAAAAATGTGAGAAGTAGGGAGAGAGTACCTGGGTAGGCACTCGTCTTGCATACAGCTGTCCCAAGTTCTCTCCCCATGCTCCATATGGTCCCCTGAGCCCCAGTTGGAATCACCCCTGAGCACAGAGCCAGGAGTAAGCCCTGAGCACCACCAGGGCTTACTGTGTGACCCAAAAACCCAATATATGTAACTTTAAAAATAAAAATCGGAGCTAGAAGGACAGTGCAGGGGGTAAGGCATTTAACCCTGATTCGATGTTCAGAACCACATATGGGAGATTGGATGGGCTTGGCCAGAGCTCACTCAGCATCGCTAGGCATGCCCCAAGATTTCAGTAAATACAGGTAAAACGGCTTAGTCATGGATGTGCTTTGACATCTTAGCACATTCGTTTGATGACTTTTTGGTTTCATGTTACAAGTGAGTGTCTCCTGAGTGGTTTTTATATTTTTAACCTGCGGCCCTGTGATTTCCGCTACTGCTACTAACAAGGTTTCACGCACAGTGTCCAACAGCACACACCCCCACCCCTGCCAACCGAGTGTCTGCTCCCTCTAGATAATTTTTTTAAAGAGTGAGCAAATTATGTTTTTCCTTTAGCTTTTTGTTCTCACACTACTTCTAGAACCCTCTGCAGATGCAGTTTGTTGAACCCTCTCGGGCACAGCAAGTCATCGTGTGAGGCTTGCCTTAACTTTCAGAATCAGAGTCCAAGGAGGCACATGGGATGTTTAAACTGGAACCACGCCTTTTTCGGGCGAAGTGGAGGCTGAGGTTAAAGGCGAAGCCTCGCCAGAGGGGACTTTGCTGCCAGTGTGAGCAGAGTATTCCTTGCATTAAGGTAGCCTTGTGAGGTGGCACGTGGAAAACCACACGTGGTCACCCGCTCTGCACGGTGACTTCCAAATGCCTCGTGGAGGCCACAGGTGGTGAGGACTTTTGCAAGCAGCTGGGGCCACTCATCCTCCTAGAGGAAGAATTTTCTCCTCTGTTTGCCTCTCTTCAAGTTTGGTCCCCTTGGGTGCAATTGTCCTTTCTGATGGCTCACTTAAAGAAGGTAGAGTTCCAAGTGTGGGGCTGGGGTGTTGGGTAACTGTTTTTCTTGAAAAGGGGCTGTAAGCCAGAATAATTTGAGAATTTCTGCCCTGAAACAATCTGTTTTGTGGGGGTGAGGGGCTGGAGGGGGTTTGGGTCCCACCTGACAGTGTTCAGGGATTTCATAAAGATCATACATGGTGCTGGGGATCGGACCTGGGTCTGCTGTATGTAGGGCAAGTACCTTAATATCCACATTACCTCTCTGTCCCCTCTTCTATTGTCTGGTTTTTAGGGCCACACCTGGACTCTGCACTCAGGAATCAAGGACTCTGTGGGGTGCTGGGAATTCAACCCAGGTTAACAGCATTCAAGGCAAAGGCCCTGCACGCTGATCTCTTCAGTCCCTGACCCTCAGAAATCTCTTGGTTCATTCCCCCTGGCAACCAGCATACATCCAGAGAGTTATTTAAGAACTCTCCAAAGGGACTGCAGCGACAGCACAGCAGGTAGGGCAATTGCCTTACATGCGGCCAACCCGGGTTCAATTCCCAGCATTCCATATGGTCACCCGAGCACCGCCAGGAGTAATTCCTGAGTGCAGAGCTACAAGTAACCCCTGAGCATCGGCAGGTGTGACCCAAAAAAAGCAAAAAAAAAAAAAGGATGAGAAGGAAGAAGGAGAAGAAAAAGAGGAGGAGGAGGAGGACTCTCCAAAGATCTTCTCAGCGACATAAAGGCAGGTAAAATGAAAAGGGCTGAGACCAAGGGCCAGAGCGATAGTATAGCAGCTAAGGTGCTTGCCTTGAATGGAGCCAGCCCAGGTTCTATCCCTGGCATCATACAGTCCCCCGACCCCCCTACCCAGGAATGATCCTTGAGTGCAAAGCTAGGAATAAGCTGGAAGGTAGGAAGGGAGAGAGGGCTGAGACCAAAAGAGCTATAGATGCGAAGGCTGAGGATTTGGGGTTCTGTAAGTCCCAGGAAGAGCAGCATCCTGCTCCTAAATCAATCCTGTAGAGAGATGTTGGGGTGGACAGTCAGCTTTCCTCCATCCTTTAGAGCTGTCAGTCCCCGCCTGCATGTCCCAG